AACGGTTGGATGTGTATTCTAAAAGTAAACGGTTGGAGATGTGTTCTAAAATTAAACGGTTGGAGGTGTGTTCTAAAAGTAAACGGTTGGAGGTGTGTTCTAAAAGTAAACGGTTGGATGTGTATTCTAAAAGTAAATGGTTAGATGTGTATTCTAAACGTAAACGGTTGGATGTGTATTCTAAAAGTAAACGGTTGGATGTGTATTCTAAAAGTAAATGGTTGGAGGTGTATTCTAAAAAAAACGGTTGGATATGTATTCTAAAAGTAAACGGTAGGATGTGTATCCTAAAAGTAAACGGTTGAATGTGTATTCTAAAAGTAAACGGTTGGATGTGTATTCTAAAAGAAAAAGGTTGGATGTGTATTCTAAAAGTAAACGGTTGGATGTGTATTCTAAAAGTAAACGGTTGGAGGTGTTCTAAAAGTAAATGGTTGGAGTTGTGTTCTAAAAGTAAACGGTTGGAGGTGTGTTCTAAAAGTAAACGGTTGGAGGTGTGTTCTAAAAGTAAACGGTTGGAGGTGTGTTCTAAAAGTAAACGGTTGGAGGTGTGTTCTAAAAGTAAACGGTTGGAGGTGTGTTCTAAAAGTAAACGGTTGGAGTGTGTTCTAAAAGTAAATGGTTGAATGTGTATTCTAAAAGTAAACGGTTGGATGTGTATTCTAAAAGTAAACGGTTGGAGGTGTGTTCTAAAAGTAAACGGTTGGAGGTGTGTTCTAAAAGTAAATGGTTGGATGTGTATTCTAAAAGTAAATGGTTGAATGTGTATTCTAAAAGTAAACGGTTGGATGTGTATTCTAAAAGTAAACGGTTGGATGTGTATTCTAAAAGTAAACGGTTGGAGGTGTTCTAAAAGTAAACGGTTGGAGGTGTGTTCTAAAAGTAAATGTTTGGAGGTGTTCTAAAAGTAAATGGTTGGAGGTGTGTTCTAAAAGTAAACGGTTGGAGGTGTGTTCTAAAAGTAAATGTTTGGAGGTGTTCCAAAAGTAAATGGTTGGAGGTGTGTTCTAAAAGTAAACGGTTGGAGGTGTGTTCTAAAAGTAAATGTTTGGAGGTGTTCTAAAAGTAAATGGTTGGAGTTGTGTTCTAAAAGTAAATGGTTGGAGTTGTGTTCTAAAAGTAAACGGTTGGAGGTGTATTCTAAAAGTAAACGGTTGGAGGTGTGTTCTAAAAGTAAACGGTTGGAGGTGTGTTCTAAAAGTAAATGTTTGGAGGTGTTCTAAAAGTAAATGGTTGGAGTTGTGTTCTAAAAGTAAACGGTTGGAGGTGTGTTCTAAAAGTAAACGGTTGGAGTTGTGTTCTAAAAGTAAATGGTTGGAGTTGTGTTCTAAAAGTAAACGGTTGGAGGTGTGTTCTAAAAGTAAACGTTTGGAGGTGTGTTCTAAACGTAAACGGTTGGAGGTGTGTTCTAAACGTAAACGGTTGGAGGTGTGTTCTAAACGTAAACGGTTGGAGGTGTGTTCTAAAAGTAAACGTTTGGAGGTGTGTTCTAAACGTAAACGGTTGGAGGTGTGTTCTAAACGTAAACGGTTGGAGGTGTGTTCTAAACGTAAACGGTTGGAGGTGTGTTCTAAATGTAAACGGTTGGAGGTGTTCTAAACGTAAACGGTTGGAGGTGTGTAGAAGTGAGCACGTATCTCATGCACGTGATGAAATGTGAGTAATCAATGCCCTCCCCCCCCCCCCTTCCCAACCCCCCGCGTGTTCTCTGAATTAAATCGACAAGTTAAAAATTGCACTTTATGTAACTAGCACGCTCAAGGCAGATTCCTTCGTCCCCGGAATCGATCGAGATGACGTCTTTTACTCATCATTTGAGGAGCGTTGACCTCATTTTAAAGACTGAAACAAGCGCAGCGATGCTACAGATTCAAACGTTAAGAAATGCTTCACATTATTCAACACGTCCCCACTATTTAGTTTTGAAACTCATCGCATGTGTGTTTAACTAACGACGTTTAAAGGTTGTGTTAAACCAATGGTGTGTTTAAAATGTAGATAAAATTTGGCTGGTTTGATGTTTTTATTTTTTAATGTCTATTTTTAATTCTTAGATGTCTTGTATACACATTAAAAACCAAAGTCTAATTCTAATTCCCAACTTCATTGAATGATACAAGTTTAAACAACTGAATGATACAAATTTAAACAACTGAATGGTGCAAGTTGAGACAACTAAATGATACAAGTTGAGACAACTAAATTATACAAATTGAGACAACTAAATGATACAAGCTTAAACAACTGAATGATACAAGTTGAGACAACTGAATGAAACAAGTTTAAACAACTGAATGATACAAGTTGAGACAACTAAATGATACAAGTTTAAACAACTGAATGATACAAGTTGAGACAACTGCATGATACAAGTTTAAACAACTGAATGATACAAATTGAGACAGCTAAATGATACAAATTGAGACAGCTAAATGATACAAGTTTAAACAACTAAATGATACAAGTTGAGACAACTACATGATACAAGTTGAGACAACTAAATGATACAAGTTGAGACAACTAAATGATACAAGTTGAGACAACTAAATGATACAAGTTGAGACAACTAAATGATACAAGTTGAGACAACTAAATGATACAAGTTGAGACAACTAAATGATACAAGTTGAGACAACTAAATGATACAAGTTGAGACAACTAAATGATACAAGTTGAGAGAACTAAATGATACAAGTTGAGAGAACTTAATGATACAAGTTTAAACAACTAAATGATAGAAGCTTAAACAACTAAATGGTACAAATAGAAACACCACTGAAAGTCCCAGGAAGCATCCACATAATTATCCTAAAGGAATATGTTATCCAAATGTTAGGTAGATCTTGAAACATTGAAAAATGCGGGTGTAGACAGACGTACCATGGCGAGTGTAGCATCCCACAGGTAAGTGATGTCGTATCTGGCACAGCCACGCCACGCCACGCGGCTAATTGGGTGCGTACATTTAACGATCAACTTATAGATCTACACAGCGAGTCTTGGATCGACCGGCCGCTGTAGCCGGTGAGACAAATATTGGAGACTTCAAATGATCTTTGGTACAGTGTGAGACAAATATTGGAGTCTTCAAATGATCTTTGGTACAGTGTGAGACAAATATTGGAGTCTTCAAATGATCTTTGGTACAGTGTGAGACAAATATTGGAGTCTTCAAATGATCTTTGGTACAGTGTGAGACAAATATTGGAGTCTTCAAATGATCTTTGGTACAGTGTGAGACAAATATTGGAGTCTTCAAATGATCTTTGGTACAGTGTGAGACAAATATTGGAGTCTTCAAATGATCTTTGGTACAGTGTGAGACAAATATTGGAGTCTTCAAATGATCTTTGGTACAGTGTGAGACAAATATTGGAGTCTTCAAATGATCTTTGGTACAGTGTGAGACAAATATTGGAGTCTTCAAATGATCTTTGGTACAGTGTGAGACAAATATTGGAGTCTTCAAATGATCTTTGGTACAGTGTGAGACAAATATTGGAGTCTTCAAATGATCTTTGGTACAGTGTGAGACAAATATTGGAGTCTTCAAATGATCTTTGGTACAGTGTGAGACAAATATTGGAGTCTTCAAATGATCTTTGGTACAGTGTGAGACAAATATTGGAGTCTTCAAATGATCTTTGGTACAGTGTGAGACAAATATTGGAGTCTTCAAATGATCTTTGGTACAGTGTGAGACAAATATTGGAGTCTTCAAATGATCTTTGGTACAGTGTGAGACAAATATTGGAGTCTTCAAATGATCTTTGGTACAGTGTGAGACAAATATTGGAGTCTTCAAATGATCTTTGGTACAGTGTGAGACAAATATTGGAGTCTTCAAATGATCTTTGGTACAGTGTGAGACAAATATTGGAGTCTTCAAATGATCTTTGGTACAGTGTGAGACAAATATTGGAGTCTTCAAATGATCTTTGGTACAGTGTGAGACAAATATTGGAGTCTTCAAATGATCTTTGGTACAGTGTGAGACAAATATTGGAGTCTTCAAATGATCTTTGGTACAGTGTGAGACAAATATTGGAGTCTTCAAATGATCTTTGGTACAGTGTGAGACAAATATTGGAGTCTTCAAATGATCTTTGGTACAGTGTGAGACAAATATTGGAGTCTTCAAATGATCTTTGGTACAGTGTGAGACAAATATTGGAGTCTTCAAATGATCTTTGGTACAGTGTGAGACAAATATTGGAGTCTTCAAATGATCTTTGGTACAGTGTGAGACAAATATTGGAGTCTTCAAATGATCTTTGGTACAGTGTGAGACAAATATTGGAGTCTTCAAATGATCTTTGGTACAGTGTGAGACAAATATTGGAGTCTTCAAATGATCTTTGGTACAGTGTGAGACAAATATTGGAGTCTTCAAATGATCTTTGGTACAGTGTGAGACAAATATTGGAGTCTTCAAATGATCTTTGGTACAGTGTGAGACAAATATTGGAGTCTTCAAATGATCTTTGGTACAGTGTGAGACAAATATTGGAGTCTTCAAATGATCTTTGGTACAGTGTGAGACAAATATTGGAGTCTTCAAATGATCTTTGGTACAGTGTGAGACAAATATTGGAGTCTTCAAATGATCTTTGGTACAGTGTGAGACAAATATTGGAGTCTTCAAATGATCTTTGGTACAGTGTGAGACAAATATTGGAGTCTTCAAATGATCTTTGGTACAGTGTGAGACAAATATTGGAGTCTTCAAATGATCTTTGGTACAGTGTGAGACAAATATTGGAGTCTTCAAATGATATTTGCCTTTGTAAGAGACATGTACACTATATTCTTACTGTCTGATTCACGCAGCGCATAACTCATCAATCTAAACCTAGCCCAATACCTACCCTACCAATCTAGCCCTAACCCTAGCCCAACCCCCCACCACTAATCCTAACCCTAGGCCAACCCCTCCACCACCAATCCTAACCCTAGCCCAACTACTCCATCACTAATCCTAACCCTAGCCCAACACCTACCTCCTTAGTTTTGTCAATGGAATGTCGATCCTGGTCAGAATCGTTCATACGACGAGCCTCATCAGCCATAGGTCGTGTAGAATTTCGACCCCTTAGGTCTCGCAGAACCTTCAACATGATGATCTTGCTTCTTGCCTGTTTGAGAATTAATGATTGATTTTATTATCTGACATTAAACCTAACAAATGAAAATAGTCGGTACATAGCGAACACAAACTGTCTAGATTTACAAAGTAAGAAAGGTAGACCTATAATGTAAGATTGAAAACAAATGTTGAGGCTGTTGATGTTCCTGTTCAATAGAATTTTATTTCTGGGGAGCAACCTCTTCTTAGAGTACCGAAGGGTCAAGGTTGGAGCTACGAGTGGAATAAAATGACGCGCTGTCTGCCTCGTACGTCTAGCGGGATGGACATGGATGGGGTAGTTGGACATGGATGGGGTAGTTGGACATGAAGAGGGTAGTTAAACATGGATGGGGTAGTTGGACATGGATGGGGTAGTTGGACATGGATGGGGTAGTTGGACATGGATGTGGTAGTTGGACATGAAGGGGGTAGTTGGACATGAAGGGGGTAGTTGGACATGGATGGGGTAGTTGGACATGGATGGGGTAGTTGGACATGGAGAGGGTAGTTGGACATGAAGGGGGTAGTTGGACATGAAGGGGGTAGTTGGACATGGATGGGGTAGTTGGACATGGATGGGGTAGTTGGACATGGAGAGGGTAGTTGGACATGAAGGGGGTAGTTGGACATGAAGGGGGTAGTTGGACATGAAGGGGGTAGTTGGACATGAAGGGGGTAGTTGGACATGAAGGGGGTAGTTGGACATGGATGGGGTAGTTGGACATGGATGTGGTAGTTGGACATAAAGAGGGTAGTTGGACATGAAGGGGGTAGTTGGACATGGATGGGGTAGTTGGACATGGATGTGGTAGTTGGACATAAAGAGGGTAGTTGGACATGGATGGGGTAGTTGGACATGGAGAGGGTAGTTGGACATGAAGGGGGTAGTTGGACATAAAGGGGGTAGTTGGACATGAAGAAGGTAGTTGGACATGAAGAGGGTAGTTGGACATGAAGGGGGTAGTTGGACATGAAGAGGGTAGTTGGACATGGATGGGGTAGTTGGACATGAAGAGGGTAGTTGGACATGAAGGGGGTAGTTGGACATGGAGCGGGTAGTTGGACATGAAGAGGGTAGTTGGACATGAAGGGGGTAGTTGGACATGGAGCGGGTAGTTGGACATGAAGAGGGTAGTTGGACATGAAGAGGGTAGTTGGACATGAAGAGGGTAGTTCCTCCCATTCACGCCCAAAGCGATACTGAGTGTTCATCATTAGGAGGCTAAAGTTGGATGTTAGTTTATGGTTAAGTTTATAGTTATGGTTGAGTTAGGGTTTGGGTTTAGCTCTAGCTCGACTAATTAAAGATAAAAAGACATTGATAACATTTTTAATTAACATAGACGCTAGTAACAGACTGGACTAATGCCCAGTAGATGCACAAGACAGGTCTTAAGCAGATAACTTGAGGCGACATCGGGCAGACATGTGGTAAATGTTTGATTGAAAAAAGACCACGTTTCACCGCGGAATCTTATTAAACTGACCTCATCACACCCTAGGGTGTTAACGGCCTGTCTAGGGACTATTTTCTGGCGCGCTCAATCTTCGCGCTGTGATAAGGCGCCTACTTGCTGAAAGCGGAGTGATTGAAGTCCCGAGGGAAAGGTTGTCAAGAAAAACATTCTCCGTCTTAACAGCATTTTTTTCCAGGCGATCTAGCAGTACCGCATATACATTCAGCCTATTTAGCCTGTCTGTCTGTCTACCAGCCTGTCTGTCTGTCTACCAGCCTGTCTGTCTGTATACCAGCCTGTCTGTCAGTCTACCAGCCTGTCTTTCTGTCTACCAGCCTGTCTTTCTGTCTACCAGCCTGTCTGTCTACCAGCCTGACTGTTAACCAGCCTGTCTGTCTGTCTACCAGCCTGCCTGTCTACCAGCCTGTCTGTCTTTCTACCAGCCTGTCTGTCTGTCTACCAGCCTGCCTGTCTTTCTACCAGCCTGTCTGTCTGTCTACCAGCCTGCCTGTCTACCAGCCTGTCTGTCTGTCTACCAGCCTGTCTGTCTGTCTACCAGCCTGCCTGTCTGTCTACCAGCCTGCCTGTCTACCAGCCTGTCTGTCTGTCTACCAGCCTGTCTGTCTGTCTACCAGCCTGTCTGTCTGTCTACCAGCCTGCCTGTCTGTCTACCAGCCTGCCTGTCTACCAGCCTGTCTGTCTGTCTACCAGCCTGCCTGTCTACCAGCCTGTCTGTCTTTCTACCAGCTTCTCTGTCTGTCTACCAGCCTGCCTGTCTTTCTACTAGACTGTCTGTCTGTCTACCAGCCTGCCTGTCTGTCTACCAGCCTGTCTGTCTACCAGCCCGCCTGTCTGTCTACCAGCTTCTCTGTCTGTCTACCAGCCTGTCTGTCTGTCTACTAGCATGCCTGTCTACCAGTTTGTCTGTCTGTCTACCAGCCTGTCTGTCTATCAGTCTGTCTGTCTGTCTACCAGCCTGTCTGTCTACCAGCCCGCCTGTCTGTCTAACAGCCTGTCTGTCTACCAGCCTGTCTGTCTGTCTACCAGCCTGTCTGTCTACCAGCCAGCCTGTCTACCAACCTGCCTGTATCGATTTTAGGAAAAAAAAGTGACAGGAAAATAGTCTTAGATATATATTTGCATGGAATTTGTTAATACTTCTATGTATTAAATATTTTGAAAGAGCAAATTAACTTAGGTTAATGAAATATAATGCAGTGTGCGTAGGTTGTAAACGTATAGTGAAATTTATAACACACGTAAATATTTAGTGCGAGGTATTTACGTTTTAATTCCTTTATAAATATATATATAATATTTAATAGAATTTAATAGTATGTTCCAACCTTCGCTTTTTTCTTGTGTTTGTTTAATATTAAATTTAAATTAGCGCGAAATGGCATAAAGACTTAATTAATGTGACTTGCTGCCCCCAACTAATCACTACAATAGTTAAACCACATAGACTGCCCATATATATCACGCTCTTTACATAACAAAGCACAGGATCAAAACAGAAAGCCGACACGGTACAAGGCTGTCATTGACGCAAAACGCAAATAACACGAAATATGGACGGACAAGGCCGACTGAGTAGAGCGTATTTAACTAAATACATTACAAAAGTTGTGGTTCATTTGTAAATTACGTAATTTTTTACTTATCCTAATATATAAAAGGCCACATGCGCTCTTCTCTCTCTCTCTCTGTCTGTCCGCAAAATATTTTCGCCGGACATCACGTCAGAAACGGCAGCGATATATGGAGAACTTTATACGGACTTTTGTTGAAAATAATATGTTAGATGTTTTAAATGTATAACCACAATTTTATTTAAAGAAGAAAAATATAAAATAAAGGCGTATTCAACTGTAGAAAAACAGTTTTATTTATGCAACAGGAAAAGCATTTATAGATGTGAAAAAGAACGCATAAAACTGTGACGTCACTAATGTTTATACATTAACTAATGACGTCATCTGCCGTGTTTAGAATTTAAAAAATGAACTATTTCATTCAAATTTGATTTAGATCTACGTACACTATGAAATGTATACAATACAATTTTTCCTCATTCAAATTTGATTTAGATCTACGTACACTATGAAATGTAATCAGTACAATTTTTCCGGCCTAAACTCATAAAATTTATGTTATTTAATTGGATTTTAGATCTAGAGATTCTAGATCTAGACTAGATCTAAATCTACGCAATAACTAGACGTAGACGCTAAGATCTAGATTTAGACTCTAACTTCTCTAGAAGTAGACCCTACCTAGATCTAGAATCTATTCAAACAATACATTTCTATACTAAAGTATTTCAGGCCTTAATTACTTTATTGAAATCTTTGTTTATGTATGCAATTTGCTAATCTCTATAATATATAAAGCAAAGTTGTCTGGTGTCCGATAAGGCACTTTCCGACGCCGCAGGCGCTTCAAATTTGGCAGGATCTTGCCTTGGGGCGACAGAACACGGGGGGCCGGTTGGCCGAAAAGTCTACGATGAGGGGGTCAAAACTGACCTCGACTGACCGGCGCCTTATATGAGCTATAAATCGAAAAAAAATGTCCACGGAGGAACCTCTTCATAACTCCTGAGGTCGTAGACCGACCCTCGGGCGAATTAATTAAGCATTCAAATCCTCAAATTTTTCGAAAGCCTAAGCGAAGCTGGGCAGCATGCCTAGTAAGTGTTATAAACCATAATGCTTTTACGTTCATAAATATGCTACAAAAAACCCCAGCCCAAATCAATAAAAACCCAAAATTTTACAATTCTCAACAATTAAATTAAAATATTTATTAAAAGATTTTTGTGACTTTTTTCTGTGACTTTATTTCTGTGACTTTTTTTCGAATTTATTTTTCCTTCGTGATTTTTTTCTGTGACTTTTTACTTTCTCGTATATACGTAGTATAGAGAAAGTCTTGTAATCGTGCAAAAAAAAAAAAAATCGAGATTTTTGCAAATCTCGACTTTTTACATCTCACTGATACGGAAAAACATAATTTTGCAATCTTGTCCGTATGTCTGTGTTTGTCTGTGTGTGTGTGTGTGTGTCAGTGTGTAAACACGATAACTTGAGTACCGTTACAGCTAGGTTGATGAAATTTCATATATAAGTATTTTATCAAAATCGTAGATCCGTATCAACTTTTGAGCGATTTCCGATAACCGGAAGTGGTACTTTTTCTACTTTGAATTTTTCAAAAGCCTATAACTTGAGTACTATTTCAGATAGATAAATGAAATTTCACATGTAAGTAAAAGATCTAATTCTCTACCTTCTGTTAAATTTTGAGTAATTTCCGTTGAACGGAAGTAGTAATTTACGCTACTTCCGATTTCTCAAAAAACTAATGCAAATTTTTAAAGTACTAATAATATTGCGCACTATTATGCACTTTTTTTTTATCTAGCGTTCACTCGGTTTGCAATTCTTTTGTCTACGAGATTTTATTCTATTTTAAAAACTTTAAGTATTTAAAATGGATTAAAAATCATGTCTATAGCCCGAGTTCCCATCCCCTGTTGTTTTATATA